CCACATAGAGGTATGGGGGTGCAAGACTTAGGGACGTGAAAAAGACTAGAATCCTGGCCACCAGTGAAGACTGAGGTGAAGAACTCATTCAGCACCTCAGCTTTCTCTTCATCTGTTGAAGCCATTTCTCCTTTTAAATTTACCAAAGTAGGTACGCCCGTTTTGGCCTGTCTCTTCTGGCCAATGTACCTGTAGAAGGTTTTCTTATTGTTTTTCACGTCCCTGGCCAAGTTCAGTTCTGCCTGCGCCTTGGCTTTCCTGATCCCACGTCTGCAAGTCCGGACGGCATCCCTGTATTCTTCCCAGGTGACACAGCCTTGTTTTCAGAGCTTGTACACCCCTTTCTTCACCCTCAGTTCTCTTAGCAGGTCAAGCTGCTCTCAGTGCAGTAGGAAAGGAAAGCAGCATTACAGACCTAGAGCTGGCCTACTAGCAGTGAGCACAGAAACTGCCAGAACCATTCTGAGACCAATTTTAACAAGAGATGCTACAGAGAACCACAGAGGCCATTTTCAGATTTTTAGTATTTCCTTTATTAAAGCTTCAACAAGTTAAAAACCACTATGAAATTCACAATTCTAGCAAATTTCTAGTTTAATTGAACAAGGATATGCCAGTGCCCCAGCAAGTACAGGAACACTGGCTTTTCTCATCTGTTAGCTACTTTAAGACTTCTGCCAGCACCTCCTCCCCATCAAGCACCATTAGATCTCATGTGGCAGCTCGGAACAGTTTCTCAAATTGCATTGGAAGGCAATGCCTAGATTTCCAGTGCACAAAGTTATTTCAAGATCACGGATTAATCTGTACCCAACATGTTCACAGCTCAGCATGAGGAAGGCAGCTGTAATGAGCAACCTGGATAAGTCACCTGCACTTGCTCCAGAATTTTTGAAGAGGAAAGTTTCTCACCGTGGTCCTGGTAGAAGACATTTACTCAAGTCCTACACATCAAATTATTTACATACAATTGGACGCAATCTAGTTCTAGTAGGAATTAGTGTTTGACTCCCTTGTTGAAGCCAGCTGTCAGGCAGGACAGTCCACAGGACTATTCTTCAGCAGGAGTTTCCAACACTTAAAAAAAAAAAAAGACACGTGGCTCATCAGTCAATCTCCTCTTTGATTGGGGTACAACCTGAGAAGAAGCTGGTATTGCTATTCAGCATTCTCTTCTTTTTCTTTACAAATGGAAGCTGGTTCTCCTGGGACTCCTCATCCCTCACCAGCAGGGAAGCAGCAGTGCTGGGCTTCTTCATGAGTACACCTTGGTCTGTGATATCTTTCAGGACCTATCAGGAAAGCAAAGACGACAATTTTGGAGTTTGTCACAGACCTGAGGAAGCCAACCTGCTTGCATTGGATTTTGGGGGCAGCACGTAAAGTTGCCTGATCTGCATCAGAAGTTGCCTAATTTATTTTTCAAGGTCAAACCTCCAAAGAATAAAGTACAGAGAATACACATAAGTAAACAACGCAGTTTATCTGAGGCAAAACTACAGCTGCCAAGGCAGAGCACATACCAACTTAAGTGCAGTTACATTTGGACACAAATGGGACTTAGTCCTCATTCCTCCATTCCCAGCCTTTTACTGCTGGAAAGGACAGCATGGCAACATGAGTGTGTATAGGTGAGTTCAGCATGTTGCCTCTAGCTCCTTTCATGGAAAGCTTGAATGGCAGCTTTACTACAAAAACTAAAGAATTCAGCAGACTTAAAAATGAAATACAAACTGGCTTGACAGCTGTAGTCTGTTCAGTATTCTAGCACACATCAACTTCTCCATGTCCAACCCCTTTTCCCCTTCTTCCCCAGATTCATCACTAAATCTAACAGATGTTTCTGAATGCGTGCACACTACAGCATTTTGGTGCTCTTTCATTTGTTTAGAAGAAAATAATTATAAAAAACCTTAGCCAGT